GCGGCGCTTCTGGTGCCATAGTCTGATCTGAAAAGTAGCCCCTGAAGAAATGAATGGAGCCATATTGGGGGTGCTCATGTCTGTATAAGGAGGGGCTCATGCTAAGGCAGAGAAGGAGCAAGGGCCGGACTGCAGCTCAGCACAGAGCAGGATGGCTTGACGGGCCACACAGACAAGGACGTGCTGTGACAGGAACAAAAATGAGAGCAGCAGGCTTGGAGACCACAGATAGGATTGGGATTTAAGGTCACTGATTCTTCTTAAGCATCAGAGGCAGAGGCTGGGAGCAAGTTCTCCCTTGCAAGGAGGAGTATTTTATCCCTGATAATATTTAGAATTGTTGGTGCATGGCAATATGCAAAAGCAGACTGACTTTTAGTAGCGTTTACTGTTGTTTAAAATTTTCCTATAGTAGATGACCCCCCCTTATTGCTTGCATGTGGAGCAGACCACTCCGGCCACTTACCTCTTAGTGTGCCACTGATCAGGAGCTGCGGGAGGCTGCCTGTGCTGCCTTCCTAGGCTCCATCTATCCTGGGGAGGGAAGGCAGCCAGAGATGGTTCACCAGGCATATGTTAGCCCTGTACTATCCAACAATGACACAACCCACCAGAAGGTTATCACCTCTGCCAGGTGACAACTCGCATCAGTTCAATTGCTCTTGGAATCTGCACCATCACTCCAGAGAAGCACAACCCCAGAGATAAAGCCACAGAGTGTGGACAAGTTGGACATGTATATCAAAGACCAATCAGTTTGCTGTAGCTTTGCAGTGGGTACTGCTGGTGATCTACTTCACCAGATGGTTCTCACCTTGACCTTCTACAGAGAAGAGCTTTTGGCTAGGGGGCGAGGCACCCCCACCCCATCCTTCATTCCTCTATGGGTTATTCCTTAATAAAGCATCTTTGTTTGTGCTTCTAAGGAACCTGACTGAAGACCCTACTGCTATGTTTGGGTATTTGCAATCATCGTCTATTACTGAAGTGTTCCAGGCCCTCTTCTGTCTTATGCATGGCTCACCACAGCAGTCCCGGGCGCGGCCCTCCAATTCTCTGCACAGGGCCACTGCAGTGTGGTTTCTAACATGCAGATATGCCTGTGCTATTTCTCCACTTAAATCTTTCAGTGATGGCCTCAGGGTAAAATCTGCATTTTTCAGCAAAACCTGTGAGGCCCTTCTTGCTCAGCCTTCTCCCTACTTTCTCTGCCACAGCTCCGGCAACCTGTGTCCAGGCACACGAATGTTCTAGACAGGCCCAAAAGTGCACTGCCATATCCCATCTCCGCCCTTGCCCTTGCTACTGTCCTGCGTGGAATGCCCCCTTTTCTCTTCTGCTCCGCTCCCTTCTTTTGCTGGCTAATTTCTAGTCTCCTTCAAAACTCAGCTCAGACATGCTCTCCTTCTGGAAATCTTATTTGAGGTCCCCTATCCATCTGCCCCCAGTTCACCTCAACCAAGCTGGTCAGACATCCTTCCTCAGAATAGCCTGCATTAGAAATGAGAATTGTCCTTTTAATCATGGTACCAAGTGTCAATCATCTTTGCGTTTTCAGTACCTAACATTGTGCCTGGCACACGGCAGACATTCAATAAAGGCTTGTTGAATGAATGAATGCCGAGTAAAGAACCCACCCAAATGCTACCTTCCACCCCCAACGTAGCCTAGGATTAACAAGGAACATTTTAGGTGAAAGCCTTTTCAAATACTTACCCCCATCCTGTTACCACATGTTTTGGACTGAATGTAGCATAGGGCAGTTTGAGCAGTTACAAGTTAGTAAACAGACATTACATAAAGGACATTCAGTCTTGAAAAAGCACTGCCTGCTGCCAGAATGTTTGGAGAAAATAGTAGCGTGCTTATCTTTTGAAAGATTTTTTTTAAATATCACATCATTGTACACAATAACTCAGTTAAATAAACTATTTAACTGAAATATTCATTTGGTTACAAATGAAGGGCATTACGTACAAAAGAAGCTTGGGAAAAGCCTCTAGGGAGGTTGGTAGATTTTTGTTTTAAGAACCAAGACTGATGTCTGCATTATAAGGCATATCATTCTCACCAGTTTAATAAACCATTATTCTCAACTCATAAGCCTGGCTTATGAGCCAAACAAGAAGTAATTTTTTGGAAGGAGAAAGAAGGAAAGAAAAAAGACAATTAATGAACTAGGAAGTTAGTTGTTTCTTGCCTCTTTGATATTGATAAAAATTGCTATATTCAAAACCATTATTCTCAACTCATAAGCCTGGCTTATGAGCCAAACAAGAAGTAATTTTTTGGAAGAAGAAAGAAGGAAAGAAAAAAGACAATTAATGAACTAGGAAGTTAGTTGTTTCTTGCCTCTTTGATATTGATAAAAATTGCTATATTCACACACTTAAAGAAAATAGGTATTTGGCCTCAAAATGCACAGAGTGAGTGGGCCCTGCAAGAGGGATTCACCTTTTTAGATTCTCAGGGTCCCTGTACAGACCACTTAATACTGAGAAGGAGTGGGTGAAGACAGGAAGGGTTGGTGAAAGGGGAGGAAGTACTTGTGCAGAGTTCTGGAAGAACGTTTTGGGGTAAATACACAGAGAATGAAAGAGCCTAGGGCCAAGAATATATGTCACCAAAAATGTAAAATGTCTGATAATACCCATTGTTGGCAATGATGCAGGAGAAACAGAAATTGTCATGTACTGCAGGTGGGCGTGTAAATGCATATGACCACTGTGGGAAAGTTTGGCATTACACAGTAACACTGAATCTGTGCTGTGATCTGCAATTCCACTTCTAGGTATATTTTCTGGAGAAACTCTAGAACACGTGTTCCAGGAGTCACATACTAGGATATACAACAGCAGTGTTCATCATAGCAAAAAATGGTAGAAATAACCCAGATATCCATCAGCAGTAGAGTGGATGAAAAACTGTGATAAATTCATACAGGGGATATTACACAGCAGTGAACTACAGCTATATGCATTAATGTGGCTGAGCCACAAAAACAATGTTGAATAAAAAAAGCAAGTTACAGAAGAACTAACATACAGTATGATTCCATTTGTATAAAGATAAAAAACTGACAAAGCTAAACGATGTGTTATTTAGGGGTGTATGTGTGTGTTTCAAAACTATTAAAGTAAATCCAAAGAATGATCATCACAAAACTCAGCATAGTGATTGCAAAGGTACTGGTCAAGTTTTATCTCTTAAAACTAGCATTCATTGTTATTATTCCTTAAACTATATAAATTGTTATACACTCTTTTGTATGTATTATGCACTTTACAATTTTTAAAGAGTTGTCTTAAAACACAAGTGAACAGAGATGGTGAGTCAGAAACTCACTGGGAAGTTGTGGTGGGAAAAGGTGGTCACACATCAGCAGAACCAGGGAAATTGCCGTAGATCTAAATGTTGGGGTTCTACTCAAGGACAACAGGTAGTACTAAAAAAAGAAGGGCCCCGAAGCCCACGTGCATTGGCCCATACCCTTCCCCCCACCCTCCCCCCACAAAAAGGGTTCTGCTGCTCTTCTTTCCAACTTGATCCACCTGGTCATTAGCGACTCATACCCCTTGTTCAGTGTGGCCTGTGGGCTCACTTGCCGTCGCTTTCACCCCGTAAGCCTGCTGAAGCCCATGCTCTTTGCCCACCTTCTGGGCCTGAATCAAGAGGTATCTAGCATTTGCCAACTACTGGATGGATTGAAACCCTTCGGTGGTTTTAATTAAAACCCTTCATCACTGCAAGATGTAGTCCATGCTCTCTGCCGCCACCATGCCTCTGTAGATGCTTTTCCCTGCCTGGAGTGCCAGCCTCATGTCCCCAGCCCATGGTGTCCTCGTAGGATAACCTAGATGTCACTTTTTCTATGAGTTGAGTGCTTTCCCTTCAGGGCCTACACAGTTTCATACATGTCCATGCCTCTACTATAGCACTTAGCAACTGGTGTAATTAATTGGTGACATGGTCCTATCCCCATCAGACTCTGAGAGCTTCAGAACCAGAACCTTTGTCTAGTCATCTTGTCACCATGGGTAATATTTGAAATATATCAACCAATTGGCACTTCACAGGCAGCGGTCAGAATGGAGCCAGGTCCTGCAGATGCCTCCCTCCACCCACAAATTGCTAGGTTTTAACTCCTTAGTTGCTGAATCATTGGGAGGTGAGGGGGGTTGGGCAGGGCCAGGCAGCTGGGGTGGAAGGATGGGAGACTAAGAACAGGACAATAGTAGCTCTAGTGGTACAATCAGTTAACGTGCAGTACTTATAAGAACAGAACATTTTTCAGCTAATACAAAAGTATTTCAATATTTTAACAACTGGCATGGTCATTTCATATCAATATGTAGAAGCTCACTACCCACCTTCTTTATATATCCCTAGGGACAGACACTATGCCTGGTAGTAGGCATTTAATAAGTATCTGCTTAAAGAACAAGACATATCTTAAGTTACAAGTGAAATTATTTACCATATTCCCAACAACACGAAGGGGAGAATCTGAAATTTGGCTCCTATAGTGAATTTCTGTTGTCTTTGCCTTCTCTTCATCTAGAAACTGATTGGGTAATGGACGGGAATGTGATCCATGTTGGTCCAATAAGATTCAATCCTGGGTTTTTGCTCGAATCCTCCCAACCCCTTCAGCCCCCCTAGTTGCCCCTGTTGCCAGGTTTGTATATGGGCTTGTGGTGGCTGTCTTGCCCCCAAGAGAGGGAGCATGTTGAGAAGGAAGCACAGGGCAGCAAAACCAAGATAAGGGAAGAATCAGGCTCCTGCTACCTGATTTAAACCCCTAGACCTGGCTGTGCCTGAAGATCCACCCTGCACATTTCAGTTAAATGACCCAAGAAATTCCTTTTCTTGCTTTTATTTTGGCTTGGGATTTTTTTGTTTTGTTTTGTTTTTGTCTGTTGGTTTCACCTTTTGCATCTACAAATCCAGCCCAATTCAGGTGGAAAGATGAATTTTCATTAGGAAAAACACAAGTCTAAGTTTTAATATATGTGTGTACCATCTCTTAACTTTTCACATCCTATGACATTTTGCTAGTATATTTTGGTAACTCACCTTTCACCAAGGAGAACATTTGATAGATTTATAAACGAGGGAAAGTCCAGTGTGTTCATGACAGGATAGGCATGGATAGGAATGAGCAAATTGTCATCTCCCTAGAATTAATGGGAAAAAATTCAAGTCTAATATTCTGAAGACTATAATTTTTAAAGATGAACTTGTAGATGCTAAATTTCTTATCTTGTTTTCTATCATTAAAAAACATTCCTTAAAAAACTTCAGTGCTTAAGTACAACATTAGAATATTGAGTTTTCTTAGCCAAATCAAAGTGTGGAAAATTTTAAGTACACTTCATTGAAATGTTGTTCATTATTATCCAAGAAAGCTAATGATGCCCTCACATAGATATAAAGATAGCAATCTATCTGCTTCTATTTCAGAAAATTATAAGGAAACACAGTCTTTAGTGGCCCAAGAGAAAGAAAAACCAGCATATCATCTGATCCAGATAGCCCAGAATAGAAAATAACGTACTGGCAAGAGGACAAAGAAACCTGCTTCTTGACCCACATAATGTATAACCTTGAGCAAGACCTTTCTTTAACTTTTCCAGGCCTCATTTCTTCCTCTGAAAAATGGAGATAATCACACCTTTCCTTAAAGGTATTTTAAGAATGAAAGCAAATGATGGCCTTAAACAGTTGAAAGTGCTGCATAAATGTGAGGTATTAATATTAGCATCACCATTAAGTAACAGGAAACATGCTGTGGCACTCTATACCATGCCTGTTCTAAGGATTTTTCTTCCGTTTAGTGCAGAATATTCCTCTGAAAGCAATATTTTAGTTTTAGTTTTAGGCTTTTTTTTTTTACATTGAAAATCTGAAAAATAATAATAGTTTGCCACATTTTTAAAGAAATGTGTCTCTTGGTATAAAATATTTTAGGTGTCTTGGGTCTAAGATTCTTTCCTTTCCCCGTGGAAAGGCATTACTAACATGATGACGTGAGTCAATCAGACAACACTATCGATTTATAAAAATTAAGTTTGCAAGTTTTTATAACTTTTTTTTTTTTTTGTGACCAGCAAGGGGTTGCAACCCTCAGCACAGTGTGGTCTGCACCACGCTCAGCCAGTGAGTGCACTGGCCATCCCTATATAGGATCCGAACCCGCAGCTTTGGCGCTACCAGTGCCGCACTCTCCCAAGTGGGCCACAGGGCTGGCCCTATAACTTTTTGTAAAAAGGAAAATCAAAGTGAAATAACTTTGGGATACATAACCTTACTTACTGTACAGATTGTGAGTAATACAAGCATTACTTGAAAAGAAAAAAAAAGAAACTCATTTGTTACTAAAGCATAGTCTTCTATTTTAATTGTTAAACATTTGAAATATTCAAATTTAGCCAACCTTAAGGTTTCTCAAGTTGCAAGATTGGGCCTGGAATATAAAGCAAAGATGAGGTGCGTGTGACAGTTTTAAGAAAAGGACTGACATCATGTGGAGCTGGCTTGGCTGGAGGCCAAAGAGTGAATTAGGTGACCTGGAAAAGGCACATAAGAACTCAAACCACACAGCCCTCTGGATCAGGCCACCAGGCTGCCACCTCCCTCAAACCCCCAGGGCTGCCTCTGAGGACATTCTAACATGAGAAAGAGTGGGCTGGTTGCCAGTATTTATAAACACAACTCAAGATGGTTGTTAATTTTTAGCCTAGCACTTAAAAGAAGACATTAAAGCTATTTGAAAAAGGCTTCCTCAACTCCCAGCACCACAGGATAAATGAGGGTTTAGGCACAGGGCAGTGGGAAACCTACAGCAAACTGTCTCTGAACCTGCCCCAGTCCTCAGCAACCTAACACTTTCCCAGCTGGGGCCTCCGTCACTGCACAGTGACATTTCTATGCTAGTCAGACCAGTGACCCAGGGGACAACCAGGCATTTGGCTGAGAAGCTCTTATTGGTCACTCCATCTCTCTTACTTCCTCCCTTGAGGATATAAATTTTGACCCACTCTCTAAAAAAAAAAAAAAAAAGCAATTATAAGAAACTTACCTTACAGTGAACACGGATGCAGTCATAGTAATATCTCCACTCATCTGGAGAAAATGTAATGGTGACCATGAGGGACAAGCCAGGGACAAGGTGGTGTTCCTGGAAGACAAATGGGCTCTTGTCAAGACAAACCCCAGACCGCGCAGAGGGCAGCTCTGTGGGTGACCACACACTACACACCCGTCCCAAGCAGGCAAGGGAAACAGAAAACTCCAACCCAGCAAAGAATACCATGGGGAGAACAGGTAACCAGATGATGCTTACCTTTTTCACATAACTGATCTGAAAGTATTTGGTCTGTGGAGGTAAAACATGAACATGTGTGTCTTCATCGGAGACATTGACCAGATGCTGAGAGAGAAGAAGCATTTAGAGTAAATGCATTGCTCTATTTATTTGCATATTCATCTCATTTATTTATACCTCATGTTGTTCGTAAGGTATTTGATGATATCACATATTTTTTAACTTCTTAAAAATATTTGAAATACACCATTTAAAGAATGATAATATAAACACAACGCACACCATTTAAGGAATAATAAAATATATCCTGTGCGCCTACTGCCCCCATTAGGACCAATACCAGAGCCTGCAGCTCCCAAGGGCCCCCCCAGAAATTTATTATCCTCTATACCCCCGCCGTCCCTGAACCATGTGTGCTTTTTGTTGAACTCAATTTAGTCCTGTGAGTCAGCTGTGCTAAAAAGCCACCTACCAAATCCCACAGGTTCTCTAATTTCAGGCACTGGTTCTGGGGGCCTGAGGAAAAAGCACATGGCTAGAACAGCCTGCAATCCATCCCCGGGGCAGATGAAAAGGAAGTTAAGGTCGGGAGCTCTTTTTTTCCTTTTTGGTGGCTGGCAGGTATGGGGATCCAAACCCTTGACGGCTCAAACCCTTGACACTGGTGTTATCAGCACTGCGCTCTAACCAAGTGAGCTAAGTGGCCAGTCCTTAGGGTTGGGGGTTCTATGACAGTGATAGGAGAAGGCCACCCCTTTGAGACAGGATCACCTGGTCACAAATCAGCTGGGTCTCTGAAGAAAGAGGTGTTTTTCCTTCCTCTGCTTGAGAGGGAAGCAAGAACTCTGGGCTCTGGGGATCTGGCTTCACCAGGAAGGGTTAAGAGGTCTTTGGTTTCCAACGTCTAGGCCAGAGGCTGGGCCTGTCACTGGGGCTCCAGAAGGCACATCACGGAGGCCTCGTGTTCTTCAAGGACCTACATTAGACTATAGACATTATATCCTGAAGAGTTACACTGTGTTTGCATATGTTAAAAGTTCTTATTTGTAATTTGTGAACATTCTTAAAGTACCACAATTTTTGTGACCTCGTTTAGGTATATCTTTTCTTTTTTTGAATATGCTAAAAGTCTAAAAAAAAGTTTCCCAGGCCTTTCTCAACCCCCAAGGGACCGTGCAGAGAGGTGGTCTTGGTGAAGGTGTGAGCCCTCTGACCCACGAGAGTGTTCCTTCCAAGAGAGATGGGGAGGACAGATGTGCTGGGGCCATCACACACCTGGGGAGGCGGGACCTGCCTGGGGATTGAGAGATGCCACTCGAGCCCGGTCTGGAAGCCTTGACAAAGAGCTCTGTTTGCTTGCTTGTCATGAGGGGAGGACTGTGAAGGCTTTGGGCTGTGAGTCCAGGGAGAACTGAGTGCAGAAGTGGTTCTACTGTCTGTCATCAACTTAAAAATAATTCAGTGAGGACAGTGCAACAAACAAGGGGGAATGGACTGGTTTTAATGGGCATGTGGGAGTGGTCAACCCTAGAAGAAATCAGCAATCTGCACTCCTGCAGTGCTTAATAAGCACTGAAAGATTCAAATCCAGCGTCCACTCCAGAAGCACCTCCTAGAGCACTTCAGTTATGCTCACCTGAGTCGATGCTATGTGTTAGCAGAGGGATGCTCAGGACATATGAATAAACTACAAATATCATCCAGGCACTTCCTCTTTCCAACAAAAGGGATACGAGAATCTGGTGATCCCAGAAGCCCAATATCCTTTAGAATGACATTCAAAGGCCCAGGACTCCCTTAGGTCCCGTGTTTTGCACTTCACAAAACAATTCTGTCAGCCAGTTTCTGCATCTGCTGCCAGCAAAGCTTCCCTGCTGGGAGCTACAGCTGGGACTTCTTGGAGATCACAAGTACGATGTCCTTTTTTGCCTGCTTGCTAAGTGTTTATATGTGAGGTGGAATTTCTTCTCAGACCTGTTTTCATTGCAGCAAACCACCTGGTAGCAGGGCTGTGGGGCAGGGGACTTCTGGTTGCCACATCCCATCAGGGTCAGACTATCAGTATCTACCTGACAATTAGAAATAATTGCACTGGCTTAGGTCAGTTTGCAACAAGTGCCATCATGAGCAGATGACCAGAGGTCTGTCCTCAAAGCTGCTGGGCTGGCTCAGTTATTCCAGTATTCTTGAATGGTCCCAAGAGAGACAGGCTCTGGGACTCTGAGACTGGCAATTCAGCCTGCAACTCTGGGCAAGGGGCTGACCCAGACTTTGATCTAGAAAAATAAAGAAATCCAACCCTTTCTCCAACTTGAGTGTGGTGAAGCAAATCCAAATATATCTACCACCTGTCTAAACATGAAGGTGGCACGTTAGAATTCATGAGATGACATCTGTATTGCCAAGTGAGTAAAAAATTAGCAATAAGAAAATACTGAATAGTTTTCTTAAAGAATAAAATAATATAGGTCCCATTCATGATAGTAAAAGATACATTATTCAGTTACAGTTTCCCATATTCACGAGATTCTTGATCTGGAATTGTTCATTTGAATCTATAGAGAAATAAGAAATAAACTCAAGCAAAAATGTAGGTATCTAGGTAAGAGGAGTGCAGGAAGAGGAAGAAAATTTTCAGCTTCTACTTGAGCTCAGAAGTGAAATGGAGACTAATTTAGACTGAAGGGTGGCCACACCGTTCCACCTGGTAGACGCCAGAGGTCTAAGAAGGCAGTCAACAGACCATCACGATCGTGGGGGAGACGGATCCTCCTTCAGACAATAACATTTAAACCAAATGTTGCCTAAGACAGTTCCAGGGGCGTGGTGCCAATGAGATTTTTAAATGAACTTAAAACAACAACAAAACTTAACAAATTAAAGCAGAAAATGAACAACTTGCTCCCTACATTTTAGAAAACAAAGTCCACATCCAAGAGACTGACTTCCAAAATATACTGTGAATACTGGAGAGTCTATTAACTTTGAAGTTCTCAACTTCTGGTTGCAAATACTCACTGCTTACTATAATAATCCATGTTCTCTGTCCTATCAAAGACTGTGTTGTCTGAGCCCTAGGAGAACTGAAGAGGCGATTTAGCATAATCCACTTATTCTATGAGGACACAGTGACGTGGCACTGCCCAGGCACACAGGGTTGAGTAGCAGAGTTGGGCACAGAGCCTGGTCTCCAGCTCTGATCTCGGACTCTTTCCACTACATTCTACCATCTCATAGCTCAGCACATCTCGGTGCACAAACTACATTTCCTATCTTTCTTTTTATACTTTATCAGAGGGTCAGCTTTATTTTTAGGTGGTTAAAAATACTATCCCATGAGGGATAAAATAGTATTCCTGCCTTCCATTTATAACTAAAACTGGGAAAACTAATAATCATTCAAAGAAAAAAATCTTGAGAAAATTAATTGTTTAGAAAGTGTATTTTATTTTATTATTATTTTATTTTCTAAAAGATGACTGGTAAGGGGATCTTAACCCTTGACTTGGTGTTGTCAGCACCACGCTCTCCCAAGTGAGCCACGGGCCGGCCTCAGAAAGTGTATTTTAAATTAATATTAAAAGTTTATTTGAAAACATAACAAAACATGAATAACCCAGTACTGCCCTTGAGGCAAAATCAAATTGCCTACATTCCTTCCCTGTCTTCCAGTATTAGGGTCAGTGGACATCCCCGCCCCTCCAAGATCTCTGTTCCCCTGGGACTGGACCTTCTGGCTCTGTGGTCCTATTTCCTTGCTGATGCCTCCACAGGGTGCCATATTGACTCTAATATGAAATTCAGCCCCTTCTATAGTTGTTCAGAACCATTTCCCACCCACCCAAAAATGCAAAAAAAACTGGGACTGGACCTTCTGGCTCTGTGGTCCTATTTCCTTGCTGATGCCTCCACAGGGTGCCATGTTGACTCTAATATGAAATTCAGCCCCTTCTATAGTTGTTCAGAACCATTTCCCACCCACCCAAAAATGCAAAAAAAACCCAAAAACCATCAATCAGCCAGACACTAAGCAGTCAGAGGTTTAACAGCCATTATTCAGCATTTACAGGGATTTCCCAAATAGGGCTCACAGCTCTCTTCACTTGCCCTCCCACGTCTGCTTCAAGCTCCTCTCTCTGTCGCCTCAGGAGAGTCTGTTTTTCCCCGCTAGCCTCTAGGGAAGTCTTCGCTTGGGGTCGGGGATGTGTGTGGGGGGTAACCTTCAACCCCAAGCACTTATCATAGTGTTTTTACAAACACAACATTTTAGCCTCCAAGTTGGGGTCCTTTAACACCTCCCTTAGTGGCACAGCTTCTCAGAGAAGTTTAATAGTTAAACCCAGGGATCTGGGGACAAAATTCAAGCAGAGTCTTAAGTCTCTAAAGTGTTTTATCTTAAAATGCCATGTTGGTTAATCCGAAATTTTGCTCTATACTGCATTTCTTCAAAATGTGAGAGTAAAATTGATGCTCTAGAAAGATGCACTACGTTTATACAGGCTTCAATTTCCCTCATCCTACACACTGAGGAGAAGCCACTGGGATCCATTGCCCTAATTTTGAGAAGCAAGATCCTGGGGAGTCTCTAAAGGCTGTAATAGGGAATTGAAAACTAGTATTATTTCAGAAAGCCAGAAGGAAGTGTTTATTTATTTAAGATAAGGCTTTATAGGCTAACAATTTTCTTTTGGGCTGGCAACTGGTTGTCTCATGGGTAAATTGATGGATTATTTACTTAATAAATATAATTTCCTAGATGAAATTTTCCACAAAAGGAAAAAGAATTTAAGGGGTCTTTCTTTTGAGAAAACTGGGGACCATTATTTCAAATTTTAAAGTAAATTGAGACACTGATTTCCATATGAATGCAAAAGTAAAATGTTTCAAATCCTTTAACTAGATCTGGATCAATCTCAAATGTTAATGAACAATTTATTGAGGTTTTAAATACACATTCAATCATTCCATTCTTGGGCAATTTGCATAGTTTTCCTGTAACAAAACCAAGATAAAAGCAGAGTTGTTGAATTTTCCCCCTTGTTTGGCAAGAATCTCAAGGTAATTTGCCTTAGGTTTCCACCTAACTTTGTTGGTGGAAACAGGAA